GCTTGAACATAACCATTGATTTAAAGAGTAAATAGCCAATACCACTTTCTTTCATAAAAGAACCTTTTGCCTTACTGTTGAATCAGGTATGTATTTTCACGAACAAAACTTTCCGATAGAGCTAAAACTATACTATTTAACTTCTTAAGTACTTTTTCAAACGACAAATTTTGTCTCATAGTGTATAAAATAGTAGAGTTAGAAAATCCTTATTTCTTTAGACAGGAACTAGATAGCTATGTCAAATGCTGAAATAAATAAATGCCAAAAGTATTACTTTATTTATGTGAAAAATTCTTTCAATTTATAAATTAAACTCCTGTTTGATGTTTCTCTATTTAACATAAAAAAATATGAAGCAATCAATGTTTCTTGTTTTTTTATTTTTAGTAATGTCAACATAAGTAAATAAGGTTTAAGTCCAAAATTATGCTTTAAACACCTAAAACTCTTGTAACTTCAAACTAAAATCTTATTTGATTTGGTCCCTTTTGATCCACAGTAAAAAAATAAATAAATAAAATAATTAAAGTAAAAAAAAAAAAACATCGGAACTATCTTAATTTTTTAAATATCAGTATCTAAGTTCTTTTCACTATTTATTCCTCTCCCGCCAACTAAAATCTTTGAAGTTATTTAAGTTTTTTCCGCTTACTAAACGAAGAATACTTAAAAATTCACTGTGATGGGGGGGGGGGATTTGTATATGTCTCGTTGCAGTCATATTTTCACTCTATGCTTTCATGTTTAATAATTCTTCAACTTCATAATTAAATCAAACAATCGGTATCGTCCCATTAGACGATCCAACTTTGTAGTTGCTTTACGGTATACCGGGCAGCGCCACTTAACTTGAACAAAAAACCAGTCTAGAGTATAAAGGGCAAATGTATACCAAACAGTAGCACTCAATCTTAAAAAAAAACATCAGTGTAGATTAAACCATCCAAGTATAATATTTGCCTAGTATACCCTATGCCAGTGGTCGGCAAAGTGCGGCTCCGGAGCCGCATGTGGCTCTTTGGCTCCTTAAGTGCGGCTCTGGCACAAATATCCACGGAAGGCGCAATAATATTTCCATTAAAAAAAACTTAGTAAGAAAAAAATTACATCTTATTTTGATAAATTAAAATTCTTCTATAAATCGAGAACATGTATAATTTTTTGTTTAAGTTAAAAGATAGATAGGTAATTAGAATTTTATATTGTTGTAAAAATACGTAACGAACATCGAGTTTAATTTTATTAATTTTCGTAAACGCAAACCATGTACAAGTTACCGGCTGAAATTGTTCGTATGTTTTCGGCGTACTCCGGTGTGATACAAAGGTACCACAAGCATGCGCGCATACTTTTTCTAAAGTTGTGGGGGTACAAATTGGCTTAAAATTAAAAACAACATACAAACCTGACTTACTCAAACTTTCCAAGGAGATGCAAGCACATTGTTCGCATTAATAAATATTTATTAAGTATGAAATTTAGTTTTATTTAGTGTACTACTTATTTAATGTAATAAAAGTTTACTAAACAAGCAGATTTGGCTCCTAACTTTTTTAAAAATTGTTGTAATGTTCATATTTGGCTCTTTGGCTAATAAGTTTGCCGACCGCTGCCCTATGCTGATGTTGTTTTAAGTTAAGCTCCTCAGCTTGATATACCGTACTATGTAAAGTAACTATACATATAGATAGTCTATGAGACAACACCAAACAATCTTATGAGAAATTTTGCCCAAAAACCACATAACTCGTTTTTCTTTATAAAGCTCAGATTTTGGTAATTCAAAAACAAGTTTTCTAGCTACATTAAAAATATTTTTATGCATTTGCTTCGAAAAAAAAAAACACACAACACACTTTACAGTGCTATTTTACTATTGCTTTAAATAAATGAAAATGAATGTTTTCTCTAATTTTTTAAAACTGCAATTTATCTAATTTCAATTAATCCACAACTTGGTTTGCCAATCACTTTTTTGGCAGCTGTTACTACAGTTTTCTTCCGCTTTTTAAAAATCTATAAGTTTTCCTACAATATTATAACGTACCGCGAATTTCAAATCACGTATTTGAGTAATCACATTTTGACCTAATCGATTAACAACGATTTCACCATAAATCTACGTAATTTGACAATCCCTATTTTGTTACAGATTTCCTCATGACTTATTTAAATCTCGAAGTTCTAATACGATATTATAACATAACGTAAATTTAGAATCACGTTTTTACAATAGTCACTTTTTGACTCAGTCGATCAGCAACGATTCCACCATAAACCTACGTGGTTTGTCAGTCGTTTTTTCGAAAGTTATTAGTACAGGTTTTCAAGTGTCTACGTTAAGGATAGTGTTTTTCTACACAAGGGAACGCTGCAAGCTCAAAAACCGCCTATACTTCCGAGTTACTGTTTCCGTTGTATTTTAAACTATTTGGCTCTCAACGTGATCATTGTGTTCTGAGATTTTTGCAAACGTGGTATTTGATTACTTATTACTTGTGTTTACAATGATAAAGGTGATAACACTAACATAAGATGGTGCACAGCTTGCAACAAGAACAAACAATAATAAAAATACCATGTCACCTTTTTTAACAATATACCTATAAATAACTAAAACAAATTTTCACTTCAAACTCACCAAAATTACTAAATAATATTAATATCTTATGAAATACGGCAGAGTTGAGCTCAGAAATTATCTAGTTTATTTTTTTTTATTGAAAACAAAATTATCCGTTTGAAAATATCACCTCGCTGAATAAGAGTAAGCAGTTGCGAACTTTCTAACCGGAACTAGAGCAGGTATTGAGCTCGAGATTGTCATTGTTTACATTTATATTGAAAACACCATCCACAATACATTATTTCGTCCCACGAAATTCGAATCGAGTATTATTTTTTTACTCGTTCTAATGATGGAGATTTAACCGTAAATCTACGTGCCTTTATCGATCGCCATTTGGAGAATTGTTTCGTCACGGAATTTTTTTCACTGTTTAAAAAAATCTTAATTTTTTAAATACTTAAATTGTTTTGTAGGGGGAATTTCGAATCCCGCACTTGAAGAATCACTTTTTGAAGCAGCCGATTTTGTAGTACAAGTGGTTTTGTCGGTTGCTTTTTAAATTATTGTTAGGTGTTAGCACACAGTTTTTGGTATAATATTTTTACAATTCGCGAATTAAATAATCACTTTGTGACCCGCTTTAGCAACACAGCCCAGATAAGAGAAGGCCTATGCACGGGTTACCATAAATGAGAAATCCTATCCTTTAGTAGTCCAAAAGCAGTGACATCTTCTTTCATATTTTTTCTTCATTGCGCAGTTTAGTAGCTCGAAAGTAGTGACACATTTCGTATTTAACTCCTCTGCGCAGTTTAGGTTAATTACGCCGTAAAACTAAATAGATCCGTGAAAAGGCCTTCCTTTTTCTAAAAGTTGTTGGCTATACTCGTGACATTCCACCTCAAATTTTTCAATAGGCATGACTTGTGCGCATTTTGAAATTAAGGGCGTGATTTTCTGGCGGTAGAAATCATTTTACGTAAAGGCAAGGAGAAAACAGATGCGTATTTTTCGCACTGTGGTGAAAGGCTGCCTTATTCGCAAAAACTCCGGATTTCGCTTCCATGATATTAAAATTTTACGTTCTTATATCAGTGGAAACCAAAATAATAAAAAAAAAATCAAAAGTAAACATAACATAATAAAAAAGCTGAGTATTATCAATTCCTTATTAGTTACAAAAACTTAGAATCACAATAATCTGAGTTTCTGAGCGATATTTTGTAAATCTAAATCAGGGTGCGTAGCTAAATCTTTCAACAAAAAATAAGCACCTTTTAAGTACTTTTTAAGCACCCAAAAAATATTTTCAAGCACTATGTACATTAAAACACGCAAAATAATTTTCAAAGACTTTACATGATCATGATAAAGTAATGTAAAATGATTGGCGCTTTAATACGTTATGGGCCGAAATGGATTGTGGTTAAATGAATTGTAAAAACTTTGAATAGAACAACGTGAAAAGCACGCTTTTGCATAATACATGGCGAAAACCGACATGGTAATGAATTTTCAAAAAGGGAAAATTAAGTACTTTTTAAAAGCACCTAAGGGCTTTTAAAGGCACCTAAGGGCTTTACCTTTAAGCACTTTTTAAAAATGCTACGCAGCATGTAAGTACTACTTCCAAGTACTCCTTTGAGACTTAGTATTCATACGCATATGATAAAAAACATACATGTACTATTTGCACTGTCGTGAAAGGCTGCCTAATCACACAAAACTCCGAATTTCGCTCCCGTGGTATTAAAATTTTTTGTTCATCTAACAGTGGAAACCATATTCGATAGAAATAATAAAAAATTCCAAGTGCTCCTTAAAGACTTATTTATTTCCAAGGAGTTTCTCGGGAGTATATGAACTCTGTGCGCATACGTCACTTTTTACAGGACAGTCATGTAAAAAAATGACTTTTGATCTCATTGAAAGTATTTAATGACATTGCATGTAAAAAACATTTATTGGAGTAAAGGAAAATATAAATTAAATTATTTCCTCTTGACTCTTTTCACTCACAAAAGGAAAAGACTATTTAATGTTTACCATTTACTAGACTCAATTATTTCATTCATAATATTAATCTTCAAAAAGCAAAACGTATGTTTTTGGATTTTTTTTGGATAAAACATGCTAATATTTGTTTCATTTTAATTTTGGACAAAATTTAAAGAGCACTAAATTAAATAAAAAATGCAGTATAAACAAATTATATAAAATTATATATTTTAAATTATATAAAATTTGATATGATTAAGACAAGAGGATTTAAAATATTAACTTTAAAAAAAAAAGAAGAAATATTTGGATCCTTATTATTAAAATGTAATTTTTTTTTTTTTAAATTTTACATGTATTAATGGAACTTTTAAATTACATATTAATTTACTAAGTTCATGCAAGAAGAAAAAGTAAAGATAGCAATAAATAATTAAAACCAGAACAAATATTGAATTTATTAACACATAGTGAAATTATTCATATTTGTACATTAATATGATACGTCATATTTATGATAAATATTTACATTGAATTTCATTCACATCTAAATGAGCTTGTACAACTAAGATCTTGATGCTAAGTATCATTCAGAATGCCTTGTAATTCATAAATTCTAGGTCTTAAGGTAGCCAAAGTTGCTAAAATAGCCTCCTGAGAAAAATATTTATAAACATATAATATTATAAAATAAATATACATGATAAAAAATTATAAATAATGAATTTATGATAACCAAAAAGTAGTTTTTTTTTTCAGATACTGTTATATTTTTATTCATTATATTTTTTTTCAACAACCTTATATTAACACAAAAGGTTATATTGTTTATGTTCTAAACAACAATTCGTCGAGATTCTTAGCAAGCTCCTGTAACATATATAAAAAATGTCTGGGTGTTTGGACTTGTCATTTTTTGTCAATAATTTGTCAAAACTCTTAGTAGGCTCCTCTATAAAATCAATAAAAAAATGTATAGGGGAAAAAATTATAAAGAAAGAAGTTTAGGGAAAAGGGAAGAAAAAAACATTAAAAATGTTATTATATTTCATAACCGTCCTTGAACAGCTGAACTAATTTTTTGGGTTTAAGACTACTAATGTTCAACTTCAACTTCGTAGCCTTGTTATTTTAAACCCAATCCTGGGAACATGGGAACACCTGGATCAAATATTGCTTACGTGGAGAACTTTTTGATGCAATTAACCCACATTTGCATTACATGGAAAGGAAAACCACGAAAATCTCTGACCGTTAGCCTGACAGTAAGGGGTCCCCAACCCATGATCCTTCTACGACTGAGGATATTTTACGTGAGCACTGTGGTTGGTACAGCCAGGTACGGAATTTGTATCAACCAGCCATTGCTGGGATTAGAACAAGGTTCACCTTTTTCAAAGGCAATCGATCTACCCCCTGAGCCACCACAACTTTTTGAAAACTTGATTAGAAAAACACGTTTTTATATTTTACAGCTAGAAATAATGCACCAAATATTTAGTTGTCGGCCAATCTAGCTAAGTACTCAGTAGGCCAAATAATATCCTTATTTAAATTTTAAAAAATGGTTCATTTATAAGTGTATTAAAAGAATTAATGTAAAAAAGTTGAATTAGAATGTTGCTTAATGATGTCATGTAAAATTCAGTCTTTTCCCAGGTAAATAGAATACAGGCTTTACTATTATTTAAGCATTATGAATCATCCTGCTTTTTTCTTTTTTTTTAATCCATTAGTTTTTGTTCAATGTTATTAAAATTTGCTGCATTCAACAAGTTTATCATAGCATAAAAACCCTCATGTTAAAATTATGTGAAATTTTTTTCTGTTTTTGTATGGCTATTTAATTTTTTTCCGATTTCATTTAGTTTGAAATATACAAACAGTAGCCTTCATAGATGATTTGAAAAATATTCAAAACCCCTTTTTTTCAAATTTATCAGTTTTGTAGCATCTTGTCTTAAAAATTCTAATAAATCGAAACTGTATGAATTTTTTCTTTATAACTCATCCCGCTAAAGAGCACCTGATTTTGAACTTTAACAAACAATAACAAAAAAAAAATATTGGTATTAGTTTAATACTGAATTATTTCTGAATCAATTACTGAAAGCAATATTTCTCCCAAACAAAAATTACTTAACTCTATGTATATCTTTAACGTAGAGATTTATTTTAAATAGAAAATCGCTTATAGCTAAATATTGAAAAAGAAATTTAGAAGTTTCCGATTCCAAGAATCAGCAGTTTCTTAAGTCTAGTTTTATAAGTCCAGTCCACGTTTCCATGCGAATTAAACAAAATTAAATGTTAGCTTTAAAATGCAAATAGTCTCAGTTAATTTAAGAATCTTTTCTAATTCATTAGAAAATAATTTAAATTTATTCTAAATATGTAGTGGAAATTGAAGACAACCTAATTATTTTTCCTAATTTAAATATTTTCGAACAGATTTGATTTTATATAATGAAAATAAGACTCAAAATCTTAAGAAAAAATATTTTCTTGTGTATAACATCTGATTTAAGTTGTTCACACAATTCAATCAAAAAAGAATAAAGAAACTACAAGAGAAATTTTGCATATTCACATACATTTCAGCTACTTCAGAACAAACTCAGTTTCTGACAGAGATTTCTTAAAAATTTTGAGTTTACGACCACTAATGTTCAACTACGTAGTCTTGTAATTTTGAGCCAATCCAGAAGACAAGGAAACTTTTGGATCAGTTCCCCCAGAGGTATGATTTGTTATGGGAACATGGAGGACTTTGTGACTAGGCAGATTTAACAAGAAACTATCACCATTTACTACATGGGGAGTCTTCGACCGGCGGAGATCGAACCCACGATCACTTTGACATGGGCCCAGTGCCCTACTAAACAGACTATCCTGGCCTTTCCAACAGAGATTGTACAGAACTTACAAAAATAAACCTGTTGAATGTTTTGTGAAAGAACAAAATCTCCAATCTTTCTGTTCTTGCTACTGCACATAGCCCTTGATTTAAATAACTTTTTTTATTTATTACAATCCATAAATCATTTTAAAGTTGACTATTGTATTATATTTATTATAATTATTTATTTCTTTTTTAAAAAAAAAATATGTGTAACAAATTTAACACTTTTTTCAATGGTTTGAATAAAGTTTCAAACAAATTACAACTATTGAAGGACCAGAGTAAAATATACTTCTGAAATAAAGAAAATAAACAAAATATTTCTACGAAAGACATTTAATTTTTTTTGGAGGGAGAGGAATTACACATCAATCAGATATTACGATTTTTCTATATAACTACAGTGGTGGCCAAAAGTGTGGACATTTTTTGAAAGTTTCATGTTTTTCAACTTTGTGCGTTTGTAGAATATATTAATTTTCACTTAAATACAAACGTTTATATATCAAATTGAAGGTAATTCAATGTAGAATTTAATAACAAAACAGAATTAAAATATCTGTGTAACAAAAAAAGTTATGCTCATTTTAGTAGAACAAACAAACACAAATCGTTTTGAATAAGGACGTGTTTTGTAATAAAAGCGTACTAGCCAATCACAAACACCGTTCTTAGGACCAATCAAATGTCTGTAACTGTAGTTAAGGTTATTTGGATGGTAAAAGAGTTATTGTTGTGGAAATATTTGGCGGAATGATGCATACTAGTACAATTAAATAGAGTATTGCTGTTTTTGAATATTTAAAAACTAATTTTAAACAATGTCATCAACAAGAAGAACTAATTGGACATCTACAAAAAGAAGCCGAATTGTCATATTGAGAGAAAATGGCCTCTCTTATGCTGAAATTGCAAGACAAGTTGGTGGTTCAGTGACTTGTTCTGGTGTACGAAAGTTCTGTTTACATTATGAAAAAACGAAATCAGTGGAAAATAAAGCCAAATTAGGCCAAAAAAATGCACAAGTGCTACTGCTGATAGAAAAATTAAATGGCTATGCCTTCAAGATAGAAAAATTTCATCAGATGCGATTAGATGTGAAATGGATGCAGCGGGTATTGCAGTAAGTTCAAGAACAATAAGAAGAAGGTTATCAGGATTTGGACTACAAGCAAGAATTCCAAGGAAAAAACCATACTTAAATCAAAAGCAACCCAAAAAACGAGTTAAGTGGGCAAAAGAACACATTAAATGGTCAGAAAATCAATGGAAGCAAGTAATCTGTAGTGATGACAGTCAAATATTGCTCTTTGGTAGTGATGGTAGAAATTATGTGAGACATAGAGTAGGTGAAGCACTTCATCCTGATTGCATTGAAGCAACTACAAAAAAACCCCAACAAATGCCATGATTTGGGCATGTATGTCTGCAAATGGTGTGGGTTGAATCCAAGTGATGGATGGCATCCTGAATGCCAAAAAATACATCGAAACTGCCCTGAAACCAAAATTGACTCCTTCCATCAGGGATCTCTTCCCCAGCAACGTACCATTTATTTTTCAGCAGGATTCAGCTCCATGCCACACAGCAAAAGTATTCAAAGCATGGTTTCAAAATAAACGCATAGATATATTACCATGACCAGGAAACAGCCCTGATCTCAATCCAATTGAAAATTTGTGGCGACGTTTGAAAATGCTTGTACGAAGAAAACGTCCAACCAATAAAAGACAACTTATTGAAGCTATAATTGATTCTTGGCACCATGTGATTACGAAAGATGAACTCCAAACACTCGTTCACTCGATGAAAAGACGCTGTGAAGCTGTCTTAAAAAATAAGGGTTATCCTACTAAGTATTGATTGTGTAAGTATCACTTTAAAAAAATGCAAATCCAAGATAGGTCTTACTATTAGTTGCATAGCTTTTTTTGCAATACAGATATTGTAATACTGTATTTATTATTAAATTCTACATTAAATTACCTTCAATTTGATATATAAACGTTTGTATTTAAGTGAAAATTAATATATTCTATAAGCACACAAAGTTGAAAAACATGAGACCACCACTGTATACATAGAAGATTTATATTAATAATTAAAAACAAAATCTTACTTCAGTTCTGATTGTTTTTGTTCCTTGAATGGGACACACATTGAGGTAATAATCAAACAACTCTTTAGGATCATCGACTTCCACAGCCTCATCTTCAAGACATGCTTCAATACCCTTCAAACCTCCAAATACAATTAGCAAGTGACTGAAATATAAATGTAAAAAAAAAACAATATCAACAAGTGATATATGACAGTAAAAAGTGGAAAATATAAACACATATATATAAATAGACTAATGTAGGAATATAGTAGAAGTGGTTTATCATATATATGTTTAAAAGCCTACTTAGCTTTATTTTGAATATAAATAGAAGGACTTTTTAAAAACTTTTCAAGGAAGAAATTGCAACTTTAAGGACTTCAGAAATTACACAAATTTTAAAAAGATTTATGAAAAATCTCACTCAGACAATTTTTCTTATTCAAGTCTAGAAAGTAAACTAATTTCTCCATATAAAATTATTTCAATTAATAAAACAGTAATAATAGTGCAACCTATGAAGCTACTTTATAAGGCAGATTACATATTTATTGTATCATTAATATTTGCTAAAACTTTTAAAAAGACACAGCCAGAATATATTATTGATAACAGACATACCACTCTGATTTTAGAAAGGTGGTGATGCAAAACTTTAGAAAGATGCTTTCCAAATAGTAGACAAAGCATTAAAAACGAATTTTAAAAAAAAAAAAGAAAGAAAGAAATTATTATATTAAATAAAATATGATTCTTATATAAATATATTCACTAATTTCACGTTTAGTCATATGATTCGTGTAAATTGTTTCAAATTGTCATTATTCAGATTTAGCAATCAATTATAACACTATACATTTTATAAAAAGCACAAAATGCTTACTAATATCGAGAATTTCTATAATACATGATTCTTATGTCATTTAAAAATCTTGCAGTTTATTTATTTTAAATCAAATAAAAGAGACAAAGCATAAGTTTTTCACACATTGTTCGACACATATTGTTCGATTTGTGTATTACAAACTCGGTATTTAATTAATAGCATATTAAAATACAAAGATACATCTTAATAAAATCATGATAGAGCACTTACTTAAATTTGGGAATTTTTACATGATCTACATTTCGACCTTTATCTGAAGTTCCAACAGTGACATCATATCCTTCTGCATACGGACTTTCTGAAAATATTGCATTGAAACTTTTCGCAAGTCGTACGCTGTAGCCCCAGTAAATGTTGTCATTCTTAAGAGGTGCAGTAGGAGAAACGGCTTTACCTTTAAAATGCTTCTTTGCTGCAAAAAAGAGGTATTGGAAAAAGAATTTAAAAAACTTTATTAAAAGAATTTAGAAAGGAGAATTGAAAAAAGATTTTAAAATATTATAACATTTTTTGACTTGTAAACAAATGCTTTTATGAATATTTAACTAATAATAAAGTTTTTTATAGATAGAATTACTAACATATTATTAATATATTTATCTGTTAGATTTTTAAATATCATAGATAAATCTAAAAGATAAATGCATCAAATTTTAAAAACATAAAAATATTTGAATGTCTTAGTATACAAAACCAGGCCTACACGTTTAGCAAAATAATTTATAGAGTATCAGGCATTTAAAAACAAATATTTTCAGAATTTTCGGTAATGTTGCCAGCATTTTAAAAGCTTCATCACGAAAGACTTGAGACAAAGTGACGCTGCATATGAACTTTTAAATCATTTATATGTAGTGGAGTAGAAAATAAGTTTAAACCAATACAAAATAATACATTAAAACTTAAACATAGCTGATAAAAGAATAAATGTTTACAAAAAGTGTAAAAAGTTGGCAACCCTAAAAAACTAACAAGCAATGCAAAAAAAAAAACATAAATAAAGAATATTAAGAGAGTAAGCATTATATAACACTGTATATAGCCATTTTTTAAAAAAACATGTTAACATAATTGGCTCGGTTTTGATTCGTGACATTTTTCAATAGATAATCATGGTAGCAGAATTAATGTGGCACAATGGCGGGCGCCACAGATTTATTTCCGTCTTGAAGACAAAAATTAGAAAATAAAAATATCCAACGATGGGCCCTAAGGATACACCTTTTAATTTTCCAATGATGTTGCAAATCAAAGCAGAACTTTATGCTAGAGATCATGTTTAAAAGAAGGAAAAAAAAAAAAAAAAGAAACAGTGATGACAACAAAAAAGATACAATGTTACATTTAATAAAAGAAATATTTAAAACTAATCCAGTTAGGATCTTACAGTTTTACAATATTTGGCACAGAAATGGAATCTTTTTTTAACACTCATGCCTAATATCACTTAAATTTTAACAATGTTGACAGTAATGTGACACGTCACAATTTTGGACAGTTTTAATGAAGGATAAAAAAAATAAATAAAAAAAAAACAGAAATCCCAAAAAGACACTATATTAGATTTACATAGAAAAATATGCACAACCAATTTAAGTTAAGATTCTGACATGTTTTAAATATTAAAAACAGTAAAAATCTAACAAAAAAAACTTTTGCGGAAGAATCACGTGTATTAAAATGTCTCGTTAACATGATTTAGCCGAAGTTAGATTGCAGAGCTCCTAAATCTTAACCCTTACTTTAAATTTTAGATTGTGGTGAAAATTTCATCGCATTATTATTTTAGATTTGTAGAAGTCCGCGAAACAATAATCTTGGGATACGCTAAATTCCACAAAAAAGTTACACGCCTATCTCCTAGACCTGGTTCGCCCTTAGAATGAAGCATTATTTAAAATGACAATATAAACATTTACTAAATTGCACCAATAAGTTTAGTTAAATATCAAAACTATATCTAAACATTAGCATTGTAAGTAATTTTAAAGTATAAAATTTTAGGCACAGTATTATTCAAAAATAAATAACATCATCAATAAAATGAAAAAATATCAAACCATATAATATAACAGTTAAACTAATTTTAAGAGAATTGTAAGAAAATGAGTCCTGTTTTTACTGTTCATTAAATTTCGATAAAATGTGGCATTATTTTTGAAAGAATAAAAGCAACTTATTTAACATATTAAAATAATTATCAAAGCAAAGAGGAAAATTTTAGGATAGCAGTTCTACTTAAAACAAAGGGACAATTACATGGTGCTTTTGTCTTTGTCTTTCAAAAATTAGGGAATGTGATTTCTTATAGTTATTACATATTTTCTAGTTTTTAAATTATCTTTATTTCATAGATTTATAATTATTTTTAATTATTCTTATTATTTTAAATTCTAGTTAAATTCTCCCATTCTAATTATTTTAAATTAACTACTTAATTTTTATCTAATTTTATAAAGACAATATAAATACTTCTATTCCTTCCTTTCATCAATAATGTAACATATAACTTTTTATGCAGTACAAATGCATAACTAATTATAATTCCATGTTGTAACAAAATAAATATCAAAATTGGTTTTAATCTTACTTTCCTTAAGCTGTTCATTTTTAAGCACAAAAATGTTTCCATTACGAGCTGATAACAAATTCTAACAGTATTTTTAGTGATTAAATAGTAAGTCAGATTTTAAAAATGTAATTTTAGCTTTATTTTTGGCACTATTATTTCTTGATATCTCACCAATATCAGATCTCTCCCCATGCCAATAAGTGTCAATTTGGAACTACACTATAGTTGGATAAAATTGTAGGCATTAAGACTGAGAAGTATTTTTATGATTCATGGGCCCTTAGTCCAGCCATTGAAAATAATACAAAATTTATAAAAATGAATACTTGGAATTGTATTCCATTCTTTAAAAAGGATTACCTAATGATCCACTAACAAAGATTTTGTGAGCTCATGATGGTACACCACCCGACATCATAAGGAATATACAATCTATAGGACAGCTGCTATTACTGAAACTCTATATTATCACAACTTAGAGTTACATAAAAACATTTGAACTAAGATTTGTTCTTAGAATCAAAATTTTGACTAACCATTTGCTTAAAGCACTTATCATGGGGAAACCTGTCATTCTGGTCCACTTGTTGTGACAGACATCGGCAAGAAATAAATGTAATTTATGTAAAATTTTTTGAACAAATTAAATAATAGCATTGCATAGATAAGAAAAAACAGACAAATTACATAATATATTTATACAATCAAAATTGCTTTTAACAATGCAACAGCTAAAAATTTAAAAACATAAACTGGATGAACTTACAAAACTGTTCTTTATCTAGTTTGACTGTGACTCGAACATTTTCCTTCAAAATTTTGTCTATTACAGCTGGCTGTTAAATAGAATTAAGAATGGTTAAAATAAAATGTAATGAAAATTTAAAAAAAAAAAAATTTCACGAGACAATACTATAAAAACAAAATAATCGGCCTCAGGGTTACAGTTTGAAAGCAATAATTGCAGAAGACAAAAAGCAAATAATATAACTCAGGGATCCGTCCAGGCCGAATTTACTACCGTTTAGCAGTACCTTCACAAATTCAACTTTAGGAAAAACGGTAGTTTCACAAAATAATTTTTCTGAATATTTTATTTGTGTATCCCTTAAGAAACGATAAATCCATATATTTGTGTTGATTTTTTAACATAATGTTTCACAAATTATGTCTAAATTTTCACAAAACAGGTACCTCTCAGAAAAACCTAGACAGATTCCTGTAATTATAAATTTTAAGACAGGCAAATGTTATTTTCTATTCTTTTCACAAAATGCAAACACATAAAAACCTTATTTTTTACAGAAAAATTCATATAAACGTATGAAGAAAAATTAATAAAATGTATAATTAATATAAACGCATCTTCCAAATTAAAAGCCTACTTATGTGATGTGAAAAAGCAACTTATAAAAAATATTAAGCGATTGAAACTTCTCTTATATATAATAAGTTTATTAAAAGTAAAGCAACTGCTAAAGAGTTTTTCAAATTGCTTAACACTAATAGCAAATCCAAGTTGAAATTGAAAATAAAATTATTTTTAAGACAAGACTTTTTTTAATAAGAATATAAGGGTTCATTAATACACTCATAAAATGGGGAAGTCACAGTTTCGTTCACTTGCACTGTTAAACTATCTTTTCAGTTTTATTTTTCCCAAACACAACTAAAATTTAAACAATAATGGTACAATGAGTACAAAGTACTTAATAAACAGAAAATTATGACTATATATGAGAAGTAAGTTTTGAAAGCTATAATTTCAAATGCATTTTTTCACAATTACGGTCTAAATTTTTTAAAAATGATATTTTATTTTATAAATTACTTCATTTAATATTTACCATTTTAAAAATTATATTTTCTGTCCAATGATCTTTACACATATTCGACCATAAAAGATTTAAGGACAATCTTATACCATAAAAATTGTAAAAATTATAAGTGTTTAGATTTGATCTGTTGATAATTTCATTACAATGTCATAAAAAAATTTAGCTTCCATATGGAACTTGGAAAGTATTTCTAAAATTACATTAAATTCATTTATTCTTCAAATAAAATTTTGCTTAGGTTAATGTCTAACTAACAAACATTTAGTGCTATTATATTTATAACTAGCCGCCTAAAGCGGCCAGCTGTCCGCCACGCTGAAGGTTTTCACAAATAAAGTTTTTTAAAACATGGCAGGAAATCTGAAGATTAGTGGACAATTAAAGTGTTCCTGTCCAGCAATTTTGTCTTCATATCCAGTTCTGCTGCAGATGTGTTATAGCTCTTGAGGATGTTTGAAATTATATAGCTACAACGCTTAAGAAAAAAAAAACTAAAATGCTAAATACATGAAAAGAACACGAAAACGAATAAATTTTTTATGGTATCAATTTCTATTTCTATATAATTTTTTATGGTATCAAATTCTATTTCTATATCTGTTACGTCAAGCACTCAGGTATTATAATTTGATCTAGTTGTGCTTGTATAATTTTGATCTAGTTGCGCTTTCTACGTCATTTTGTTAACATCGTTTGGTTTGTTATTTAACATCGTTTGGTTTGTTATTTCTAAGTTAACTTTCAAAAAATTGGCTGGCATCAGCATTTTTATTCTTTAAGTTGTTTATTTTTTCTTTTGGAATTCGTTCCTTTTTAGCGAAATGTTTTTCAACCTAATCGAATTCTTTGCCGACTGTTCTCTGTATATATAAAGAAAATAAAGTAAATATTTTTAAAGTGTTGTGAAAAGAATTTTTAGTTGTACAAAGTACTACAATATCGCTATAAAAATTATCGTCTTCGCTTAAGAAAAAAAAAAAAAGAGCGTGGAAAGAAGAAGAAAAACTTATTATAACAATTATGAACAGCGACAAATATATCAAAGCGAAGCGTTCTATTTACGTATCGAATATGTTGCCACATTTTTAATACAAAAGTTAAACTTTTCTCCACTTTAATAAATGTAAACTAATGCGAACTTTACAATTAAATTATTAATTCCTTCGTATATTATTGGTTTAAGTTGTCGAAAATTAATATTTCAATTGTAAGGTTCGCATTAGCATACATTTATAAGAGTGGGGAAAAGTATATGCATTTTTTAATAGTTTTTTGAATATGGCTCTTTGAAGACGAAAAAGCAGACGAAAAGCATAGACTTACAAAATGACTGATAACTAAATAACTAATCAAAATTTTTGAAAAAGAAAAAAAATACTTCTTCATTATGTCAAAACACAATTATGGGCCGAGTTTCGTGCCCGGGCGAGGCTTCTGGGGCGATATATTGTGATTACAGACACACACACACACACACAGCCGCGTTTATTATTATGTATAGATTAGAAATACACATCCCAGTTAATGAGATGAGTAATTTTGCAGTATAGTAGGACTCAGTTAATCTAACCTCCAATGGATCAGGAATTCAAACTTGTCAGATAATCAAAAGAGATTCATAAGGTTTGTTTTTAAGTGAGAAATGAAATGTTAAATAAAATTTGTAAGAATATTACAATAATCATAAAATAAAATTGAAGATTTAACTCTTTTGTTAGTGTATGATTTTGAGGACAAAAATGTGGTTTATGTGAAGCCATTACCAAAATTTCAAAATTTTTACATTAGTAATATATTTTTTAAGCTGAATAGCATAACCAAGCAATAAATAATTTAAGGATTACACATCATCATTAATAAGCACATAATTTATTAATTCTACACTCTAGTCATTCACGAATTTCCTCTGCAGCTTTTATCAGACGTGCCAACCTAGCAAAATTAACATTCAAGAGTTTCCCTAACAAGAATTCAGGAGGGGTAAAAAAAAGGTGCACAGTATGCAACATTTGACACTTCTAAGGAATTTTAAGTAAAAAATTTATTAAATATAAGAATGCAAGAAATTTTACACACTAATAGATTCGTGGAAAAATATTAAATGGAAATAAAAAAAATTAAACACAGATTTAGCAACACTAAACTATATTAGGTAGATACTCTTTATTTAAAAAATAAATACCATTTCCTTAATAAAACATTATTCAAAAACCCTTGACACTGTAATAAAAATGCACAAAAACTCCTAAAAAATAAACAAATTGAAGAACTATTTTATTTTAAAAAACCAATTCAATACTAATGTATCATAATACTAATGTCTGTACAATAAAGAACCAATTATCCAGGACGCTCGGGACCATCTCTATCCCGGATGTCTTAATTTCCCTGTTTTCTGGATCGACCAAAAAGTGTCGTTAATCAATGTTTTATCGAATCCATATTACAAGGAAAAAGTGTAAACACATTTTAAAGTAAGAGAAAAAAGTAAAGCACTCCTAAATCAAAAAAGGAAAAAATTGTAGAAAAATTACATTTAAAAGAATAAAAAAATGTGCAAGTTTAGTCAAGAAAAACAAGTTTAAAAAATAATTAAAATTCCTAAATCAACTAATAAACAAAAGCAATGATTAAATAACGCAATATATTTCATATCTAATTATACGGGGGAGGGGGGATAAAATAAAAGGAAAACTTATTAATCTAAATAAAAACAACACTTGAAAATTATCGAACCGAAACGATAGTTAAAAAAAGGCACTAGCATAAATATTAAAACCTGAAACAAGGCAAGATCAACGGAATTAAAAAAAAAAAAACACCCTAATGATAAGATGTAGTAATAAAAATAATTTATTGAGTGCAAAATTTATCATGAAAAGGAAGAAAAAAAAATCAAATGTAGTGGAATCAGAAAAACGAAACTGCAATCTGCTTCATAAAATAATTGTATGTTTAAATTAATAAACAATTCTCCTTTTATTTATTTATTTTATAAAAACACGATTTTTAATTAAAGCAGGTGTGATTCCACATCAAGAAAAACTTGCAAATGATACCGCGCTTCCAAAGAATCTGAATTCATTCAAAAGAAAAATATTTTATTTTTATTAATCGATGTCAAATAGATAAATAAAATATATTTTTCTCTTTCACCTTCTGTTCACTGATATGCATGTGCAATGCATTTCCCCCACCCCCTCGTAAATCAAACAGAAAATGAAATCAGCATTGAGTTTGACGACCTAGAGAAAATAAAGATCTAAAATCTTAAAGGTCGCGGAAGAAATGACATTTCTCTGGGTAAACAGGGAAAAAAATTCTTCCCTTCCTCACATTTTCCTCGACTCAACTTCAAGGATGAGTCCAATTTCCACTTTTTTTTTTCATATCGTTTTAGTTCAAAATGGCGGGAGAATCGAGCAAAATTTTCTCCCGGGTTATCTAGATACCGGATAAATGGTTCTCTACTGTATGCATAAAAAAAAAAGAGTTGCAGATTTAGCTCTTCGCAATTAAGTCTTGCTAAAGTAATTGGTAGATGTTTTATTGAAATTGATCCATACTTCCGTTTCGACGTAGACATCCTTGAAAAAATTTTTTTTTTAATATACGAAGACTAAACGAATAATGGATATCACGTAGCTAGTTTACGAGTTTGTTGCCAACCGTGGAAAAATATGCATTATAAACAGCAAGATACGATGTCAATTCCAACTATTGAGTGTACCAGTTTCCCCACTCCTGTATGGGCGTCACTCGATATCGTCATGTGACGTCATCGCATTCAACTCCACACGAAAGGAGAGGAAGAAGATTTCACCCGCCCCCAGTGTAAGGGGGCGGGTGAAATAGAAGTTTTAAAGAGGAGGAACGTTGAAGAGGGGGGCAGCTACGCTTCAGGCAGATGGTAGTTCGATAAAAGGGGATGGAATTCATGCCGAAAGAAAAATAAAGCTTCAGCACTCACGAAAAAAGTAGGTAATTTTGAGTTTGGCCGTCGATAGCAGTAAAATTCGGGAGTTGTTCAAATCAATTCCGGAGGGCGGGAGAGTTGGGATCAAATTTCGGGAGACTCCCACAAAATGCGGGAGAGTTGGCTCGTCTGTTTTATTAATGTAATTAATTTATGAAAAAAAGCATTACATTTGTAATTAATATAATTTAAGAATCTATATATTTGTTTATTGAAGTGATTTTTTAATGCCACTTCACAATTTACCTTGATATAATTAATGAATTCTACATCATAATTTAAGTATTAATATAAGTTAAAAAATTTTTGAATAAAGTTGCATTTGCTCATTCTTAATATCCTAGATACAGTTAAATAACTAAATAAAACATAAGTGGATGGGAAAAAAAGTGTATCTATACATCAAAATATTTAGTTTCAATATACCTTTTGCAAACCTATATTTATGTATGATCCTTTGCCTTGTTTAACTGGCTTGTTCAAAACTATCCCTTCACGATACTCAGACTCATCATTAATTGATAAATGTGATGGCAGTTGAAGTGGATGTATTTCACCTATAAAAAAAAATTTAAAACTATAATATGCTAATAGAACAAGAAAATAGATTTTATAAAGGCTAAAATACTGGTTATTTGCACTTTTATTCAGGCAGTGTTTCCAAAATTGGCATAAAGTGGCGTGTAAAGATGAAAGGATGTTAAATGCAAAAACCCTGATTAAAGGCTCTTTTAAATGGAGTACAATCATAGGGATCAAAAAGTCAACTCTATTTAAAAATTTGAAAGAAAATAAAGAGTTACCAAAATCTAAATACATTTTTATACAAGTAAGCTTTAATAAAATTTGATAACATGGGAAATGATTGCACAGATATTACTAAAGAAACCAGAAATTTGGATCCCACACCCACTGTCACTTGTGATGACACAAAAGCAGTTGTCAAGTGCAATTTTTAAAAAAACCCTCAATTCTAGATATTGATTGTCGTAGAAACCTCTCGTTCCCAACAGTAAGACTACATTTGGGCCATTTCGAGGACATTAAGATTTCTTCAGATAAGACCAGATTATAACCCATGTCTGTCAAGTTATTCAGGCTGAACGTTTTGAGCTTGGCTCAGCACCAGAGGACATCCTACACAGTCTTCAAGTTCAGAACTCACAAAACCCATTCTCCAAAACTTTTGGAAATATTCAGCAATGCCATAGACAAGACAACAACAATTGAATCCTTTGAAGCAGATCAAACAAAATTGATTCCTTAGTTTTGTTATCTATGAACACAAAGTCAGCTAAAAGTTATATGAAATGCATGCAAAGAAACATTTACTAGTAACCACTCTACATTACAAAAAGTTACTCCTTTTGCAATGCGTTGCTAAAAATTTTTCTAATTCTCATTATACAAAAAGTAACAGAAGAATTTAGCACTTTTAACCTAGAAATGTTTAAAGAACATTCTAATCTGGAAATGAAATTGATGTCAACTAATTGAAGTAATTTTATGTGAAAGTTTCCCAAACAGTCAACAAATTATCAATTTTTATTTATTCATTTCATTTTTTTTTTTTTACCCTTTTTTAGAAGATAATGTGGCAATAAAGCCAGCTTAGTTTTAAAAAAAGATTTATTTTAATTGGAAACTCAATGTTAATATTTATTTCAGATAATAAAGAAAGATTTTTAATTTTTCAACCAAAGCACTTTAACGATGGAGCAAAACATTGGCGTTAATTACATATTTTCAAGAAAGTTAGAAAAATCAGTTGTCTTTGTCAGAGCATTTTATTTGTTATTGCTCTGGGTTATTATTTCTCCCTAGCATACATCAAATAATGTAATTTTTTGATAATTTCATGGTACAGATAAAAAAATGGTTGTAATATAAATTTCGAACTATAAAAACAAGCATTAGTTACTAAATTTGAAAGGATTTCTAGATTACAAATCTTAATTTTGTGCCCAAAGAACTAATATCAATTCACTCCAACATTTAAATTTTTTGAAGCCTTTATCTGTAGGAGTGATTGAGAGTAAAACTCAAAAATCCTGTAAATTTTCTTGAGTAAAATCATCAATGACACATTTCAAAAAATTAATGTCTTTATAAAT